TATGGAGAGGTTGAAGGTTATGGAGAGGGTGGAAGGTTCAAAACCAAAGAACCTTTTCTTTGGGAGGAGTATGGGTATGTCTGTTCCCATATTTCTTTGACTGTAACTTGCCAGTGTTGGTGCCATATGATCCCAGAGAAATGCTAAACCACCAAATCACTTCCCTCCCTAATATCACTTTTTCATCTCTGACCTCCTCTCAGTGATAGACTCTGTCGGAAAGACATTTATTTTTTGCTACCAGTTATTTTTCTTTGAGCACGCTAGTGTTGCTAACATGGAGCACAAGAGCAGCTGTCAAGGCTGGCACAAAAAAATTGTTTGCATTTCCTCATTTCCCCTCCCTTGTGTTCAGGCTGTTTTCAAATCCCCTGCATTTAATGCTCTTACTTGTGATCTTGACAATCACAAGGCAAAATAGAGGGTCTGTGGACTGTCTACTCTGTGGTAGAACAAGATTTGTGGGGTTTATTAGGCTCTCATTATAGCAGGGGATGCAGTATTTGTTCTTATTGCAAAGTTGTATGAAGCCTAGGTTACATACTTCGGGGGGCTGGAGAGAAAAACTGCTATTGCTATGATCGGACGGGGTAGTTTAAAACAACAACTTACTAGCAGGTTCTCAAGGTCTTATATTAACTTTCTAATCAAGTGGTCAGTGTGTTACACAATCTCTATTTTGTGTGTGCACATGGTGAATTTGACCAGAGGATGCAATACTCTGTTCCTCAAGATACCTTTGGTAAGGCATATTTTCTTTTATTACGTTTTAGGGCATAATCAGCCTTGTGATTTGCCTGAAGATGCTCAGGATGGCTCTGTCATTGCATTAAAGGATGGGACAGTGGTTCCCTCTGACAATCTGGAGGCACTTGTTGATGTGAAAAACAAGATGCCATCTGGCAACAACACAGCTGTTAATGTGTTCATCAATCTTCATGACCTATCACAGATAAAGAGAGGCACAGGTAAAAACATGTCAACTGTTTGTCAAGGTGGCTTATGGTGGTTTTGAAGGAGTAAAAGACCCCGCCCAACTTGTAACTGATTTGTAAAATGTTCCAAGTTGTTTTTTATTTCTCAAGTTAAGTCTTAACCATCATATGTGGCACTTGAACAATACAAATATTGATTAATAAATAGCCAAAATGAACAGGCAAGTGGCCATGGTAAGGCTGGGCACTACTAGCCTGGTTGAAACATTTTTCTCAAAATTATCAGCCTGAGTGACCCTTCCTCAAAATTTTAGAAAGAAGAAATTGGTTCTGATTAAATTAACACTCATGCAAAATTAAATAAAAATCTGTAAGACAGATTTTTAGGTATTTTAAAAGAGGCAAAATTTCTCATTTTCTTTGTAAAATGGAAAAATGGAAATCTTATTTATAGTGGTCATGCACTTAGCTGTACAAGCACGAAGCTTTGCCAGTTTACAGGCATGCCTCTGAAATAAAGGAAACAAATATTTCAAATATTTGAAAATTATTTCAAATATTTCAAATATTTCAAAATTTCTTTGTTTTCAAAAAAGTCTGTCCTGCACATTTTTATTTGATTTTGCATGAGTATGTGATCAGAGCCAAATTCTAATTTCTGAAATTTTGAAGTAGCATTTATTTGTTTTGGAGGTTTGTACAGGTAACTTTTGAGATTAACTAAATACTTAATAAAAATCCAAAGTTTCTTATACATTTGTTTGACAATTTTTTCTTCATTGATCCATCTTATAGCTGCTGTGTCTCCATTTGGTGACTTTAACAGCGCATCTTGTGGTAATAATTTGATGATCCCTGCATCAAGTTCAGGAATGCCAGTGCCAGTAAACCGAGGAACAATCTGTGCTCCTAGTTCCACTGCGACACCAACAGCCCAATCTACTGAAGGAAACAGAGGTTATGCAACCCACATAACATGTGTACCTTCACCTGTTATCAATGAAATGTGCAGGCTGCTAGATTTGGATAGACATTTAATAGATGGAAATGATTATACAAGGCTTGGAAGTGAACTTGAGCTGGACTCAATACAAATCCAAACCCTCAAACAGAAATGTAATAACCCATCTTATGTTATTCTAATGCAAGTGTTTCCAGCCTTGCCAAATTCTGGAACACTTGAACACCTCATTCCCTTGCTGAAAAAAATGGAAAGACATGATGTGATTCAAGTCATAGATAGATGGGTAGGCAGCCAATAGTGCACAAAGGCTGAAGAATATTAATACCATTAATATGAATCTAGACATGTCACAACCACTCATTAGTTTCACAGCTGGGTTCAGGCTAAAGTCACAGCCAAATTTTAATTGATTGAGCAACTTTTAAGCAGATGTCATGAGACTATAGTAAGCCAATAAAATTCTGCTACGTACTTTAGAGTAAAATCACTTTAGTATTGCTTAACACCTAGTATGTAACCAAGTATTAGGATCTAGCATACATCAGTATCATTCTAGTAATAGTGCAATAGCTATCTATTATTCACACTTTTTCAAGTTACCAGCGTTAGCTTTCCCACCCACCCACTTCCACGGCAGTTATGATTGTCGTTGTGTTTGTAATCTTGTTGTAATTTATGTATTTATAATTATCTTGTACAGGCTCTTGATGGGCCTCTAGTTTTATCGTAGTTTATTTGAAGATTGCAATATTATTAGAATGAATCATTTCTGTGTTGCTTGTATGTGTAGGATTAAAATAAACTGCCTGATCCCAAGAACTTGCTTCGAGAGTGAGTTTCTGTGTTTAGAAGGTGTAAACAGTGTTTCACAGTGGCAGATCCAGACCCTTCTTTATAAGGTGAGGATCCTTAACTTTTTTCTATCCTTTTGGGCTATAAATTAAGGTGACTGGCCAAAAAATGTTTGGCCCTACAGACCTTACATAGTTCCACCAACAAGAGGGTAGGGGGCTTGACCTCCCCTTCTCTCAGGCTATTCTAGATCTGCCACTGTCTCACATTAATTGTGTAGTGTTTTGGACTCTCATATCTCAGTACAATATACCGTTGAACAACATGTAAATTATTGGTATTGATCATGGTACTTGATTGCTTTGTACCCTACCATGATGGCACCATTACAGGGGTTTCATTAATGTTTTCAGCAGAAGGGCAGCTGCTTTTCACAGGCAGGCAATTTTTTTTGAACTGAACATCTTTATAAGAGTAACTTTCCTCTAGATGGTCAAACCAGGCAGACAAAATCATCCTCACAGCGGGTCAATTTGCTTGGTGCCCAGCCCTTAATGAAACACCTGTGTTAATATCACATGTGCACTGAAGAGACTGAGAAACCAAAACATTAATTAACATTTACAGGTTTAAATTAAACCATAACAAAGGAATATTTTTTTTATTTGGAAAAAGAGTTTTAAATGAAAGTAATGAAACATTGTGTTGTTATAATGAAACCCAGCAGTTTTACCATTAGAAATAATTTCTGTTTTGTTTTTTTTTTTCAAAATTATTTACATATATCCTTTTATTTTGCAAAATTGAAATACCTAGGCTGGGACTAGATAATTAAGATTGTGGTATATTCAAGAAATGTTCACCCCTTACAGTGCTCATCATTTTTTCACCTTTGAACATTTTTAATGAAATTTTTGCATTTACAAATTGAAAATTATTTATTTATTTATATTGTCACACTTGTTATTGGAAATGTCAAGACCCCACAGTGTATTTACGCAACATTTAAAGTTCCTCACTCACTGCTAGCTTTTTCTTTGTTAATGTGGTTTTCCAGTACACTTCCAATGTAACTTCCAATGGCCAATTCCCTCTATGAGATGTGCCTACAGGGACTCATGGTAGTTGTTTTCATCACCTTGGACTGGATATTTGTCTTAATGAATACACCTGCCGGCCTGTCTCATAGAGGGAACTGACCATAAGCGATACCTCAAAGGGCTCCACATGCAGTAAATGCCCAGTCTCTAACATGCAATCTTCCTTGTCCTCCCAAAAATTCATTTCGCATCCATTTGCACGTTGAATATCACATTTCCATCCTGGTTGCAAAGTGATTAGGAGGAAGATTGGAAACATTCTCCAGATTGTTATGATTATTATTTTGTATGTTACAAAGTCCCACTTGCCTTAGTAATCACTTAATACATGGACCTATATTGTTTCATTTTAAGACTAATATTATTTTTATGAAGCTGTATTTTTAGTTCTGGAGAATTAAAATAAATGTAGGTTACATAAGATAATGGTAACCATGATAAGCCAGAAATGTAAATACTTTGGACCAGCTGGTTCGTGTCTCTCCTGCCATTTTAAGCAACCTCGTTCCCAGGCTCTCTCTAGTTTGTCCTCTCCCAACTTTTGGTCAGTACTTTATGTAAGACTAGGTATAATGTCCCG